CCTGTAATGAGCACTGGGTATTATATAAGACTGATCAATCACTGACCTCTACCTCTGAAACCAATAATACGTTATATGTTAATTAATTGAATTTAAATTTAAAAATAATGCATCAATATTAATTCATTAATTTTAATGAGTGGACCATACAAATGTAAGATATTAATAATAGGGGAACTGTGTATGAAGGTGGAGGATGTGGGGTGAATATATAAAACTCTAAGAAATATCTGCTCAGCTCTTCTATAAATCTAAAATGGAATTTGAATAAAGAGATAATAAATAATAAAAAATAAAATAAAATTTTAAACACTGAAAGAATAAAAATAAATAAATAAATAAATATTTGAAAAAAAAATAAAAAATCAGAGTCCCATAGGCCAAGATCCTGCACAAAATCAAATCAGCAGCAATCATCAGCATCCTTTGAAGATTTGTAGGCAGGACAAACACACCCTCCTTTCCCCCACCCCCCCACCCAGCTTCACTACACCCTACTGCATTCTCTCTGCCCCCTTCATTCATTTGTTAATTCATGGCCCGAGGACATCTCTGTTTGCAACCCCTGAATGTACGCTATCAAATTTTAAGGTCAAAATGGTCAGTTGGTATTAAAAGGTTAAATTATGGGGCCTCAATTAAGTCTTTATTGATTTGCCTGTCGTCAGAGAATTACACTGTCCCCACCTGGACTGCATTTGTCTTGTTCACCATTGTATCCAGGGCCTAGCACTGTGCTCGACACCAAACGGGTCTTCAGAAACATTTACTGACTATTTGAATGAATGATGGAACCTTTTCTCCATCCCCATTATGCTACTTTACCTTTCAACTTCCCTGATTCCCCTGCTTCCAATTTTACTTCCATCCAATGTATACCATTTTCACTCCACTGATCTAAAAAAAGAAAAAAAAAAAAAATCTTCACAGACTTATCTTGCCAAAGGGCTCAAAATTCCTCAGTTTGACACCTAATGCCATTGATGATCAGGACCCTACCTGCCTTTCCAGAGTTACCTTCCTTCACTCAACTTTGCAATGTTCCTTCTTGCAACAACAAATTACTTCTAATTCTCAGGACACACAATGCTCTATCTAGATCCCAAATGTTCAGATTCCCCTCCCGATGGTAATCCTAGGAGACTATGGGGGATGTTGTTTTATCAGCCCATGCTCACCCATCTCACCACACTCCCTGGGATACTACTGTCTCTGTACTTCATGATACTGCAGTATTTGTGTATTTGTGCAGGGAGGAGAGTAGAGTTTAAAAAGAGAATTTCCCCAAATAGATAACCAGTCATCCTAATTTAATGAATAGTCCATTTTTTTCCTCCTTAATTTTAAATGTTACCTTTAACATAAAGTAAATGGTTTGATATATGTCAGAGCTATCTCTGAAGTATCACTTTCCATTGATTTGATTTGGGTTTCAAATATCAGATGTTCTAGATTATTATAGTTCTTTTTAGTGTATCTTAATACCTGGTAGGCCAATCTTACGGGAAAAAATAGTATCTTATTGAGCTTTATTTTGCACATCCTCATTGCCATTAAGGTTGCGCATCTTTTCATGTTTCTTGGCCATTCAAGTTTTCTCTTTTAAGGATGTCTGATTCATGCCCTTTACTCATTTGTTGATGATATATATTGAAGCATTGCTTCTTCCAAGTTTTTCAGATTTATGGCGCCACTCATAAGAATGAAGTTTTTAATTTAGATGCAGTTAAAATTTCTATCTTTCCCTCTATGGTTTTTAATATTTTGCTAATAAGTTTCTTTCCCTTCTCTCAAAGGTTGTCAAACTCTTTTCCCATATTTTCTTTTTTTCAATAATTTTTTTAAGGATATTTATTTATTGATTGATTGAGAGAGAGAATGATAGAGAGCATGAGAGGGAGGAGGGTCAGAGGGAGAAGCGGCTCCCTGCAGGGAGCCTGATGCAGGACTCGATCCCCGGACTCCAGGTTCATGACCTGAGCCGAAGACAGCCGCTCAACCAACTGAGCCACCCAGGCGCCCTCCTATATTTTCTTCAATGTGTAGGTACTAGTCCATCCAAAGGAGAGAGAAAGTATAAAGGGTGAGATATTTCTTTGCCAACCCAGAGGGTATGGCAACATAGGACAAGTGGAGGATGAAGACTTTAGCTACCCATGTCACATGTGAAGGGGGTGAGTTAGAAAAGACAAAATCCTTTTGAATCTCCAGCTGACATCTCCAGTTGACTGTGGGTTCTTAATGGATTGACATAAACTACTCACATTTGACTGAAGCTGTCCTGATACCTTCATCTGGATTCCTTATGTGGCATGATAGTCAAATGGTACGGCCCTTCGGTCATGGCTGTACCACTCTTCCCCACCATAATCAGGGGTGTGGGGAGGGGAGGCACAGGGCACTTAGTAACTTGCTGGGCTCAGACCATGGAGGTGGAAGATATGAAGTTAAAACCTAGCTTCCTTTGACCCTAGCCATTTTGCCTCTTCAACAACTTCTATCGTAACATGAGTTTTTTCTCCTGTATCTCCCTCACTGCAAATTTAACACCAGGAGAGAAATACTGAAAAACAATAGAAAAACAATAGCCTAAAATGAGGGAAGTTCTTGAAAACTTTTGGTAAGGTTAGAGTTTGGTGAGAACTGTACTTTGTAGAGAACTGTAGGTCGAATTTGATAAAGGGAGTGCATGTGGGGGGGAAGTGGTGGTGATGTAGGAAATGGTTGGGGTCCAGAGCCGAAGGGCAATAAAGAATTCTTTTTTTTTTTTTTAAAGATTTTATTTATTTATTTGAGAGAGAGAGAATGAGAGACAGAGAGCACGAGAGGGAAGAGGGTCAGAGAGAGAAGCAGACCCCCCGCTGAGCAGGGAGCCCGATGGGGGACTCGATCCCGGGACTCTAGGATCACGACCTGAGCCGAAGGCAGTCGCTTAACCAACTGAGCCACCCAGGCGCCCGGCAATAAAGAATTCTTGAGACATGTTCAGTGCAAAATATGGTTTTATTAAAGAACAGAGACAGGACCTGTGGGCAGAAAGAGCTGCATTGGGATCAAGAGGGTGGGCCATTATATACCTTCAAGTTGGGAGGGGGTTAGGGACAGCACAAGCCTCCAAGGTATTTTGGAAAGGTTTTCAGGACCCTGAGGGGGCTAGCTATTATTAGGGAAAGGTCATTTATTACTATTTAGTAAAAACTCTGTCATGAGACCCTTCAGATATATATCAGTGGGTCCTATGCTTGGAGGATAATTGTTAACCTGTATCTTGGGGGACAGAGATAAAGAAGTTTCCAAAGGAATTTTTGTATGTTAAAGTAGACTCACAGGATCCTGAGGTCAGGCTAAGATTTGCTCTTAGCAAAGTATCAACATGGAGGCAGCTGACTTCCTAGAGGAATGTCACTCTGCCTGTTTCCAGGACTCGTCAATGGGTTATAAGTAGTGAGGAAATTTAATAATTTTTCTTCTGCCTTTGTTTCCCACATCAGTAGAACACAGGAAGGAATGACCCAAGAAGGACAGAAATTAAGCCATGGTTTAATCCAAAAGGATGATTAGTAATGTTAATCAATAGAAGTCTTGGCAGCTGACTAGATATGAAGGCAACCAAAGAGAGGGAGTCTGGGTTCCTCAAAGAAGGAAATCAATGTTAACATAATCAGGGCAGCCTTGGTGAGGACTGACTCTGCGGATAAAAGTGGACTTGTCTTTGAAGTGTGGGTGTGACACCTCGTAAAGATGACCAGCAGGAAAGTGGGGGGAGGGTAAGGCTGGAGACATTGTTTTAGTCATCCAGATGGAGGCAAAAATTGAATCTCAAAGGTACTACAAATAGAGAGAGAAGATCATAGGAAAAACCTGTATCTAGGGGACAAAAAGTAAAAGGAAAGCTGAGAAAGCAGAGATATTTAGAGAGAGATGAGAACCAATAAGTTAGTGTGATGAGAAGAAATTAGGACTAAGAAAAACTGTTTAGGACTGGTAACCCAAATACTGACAGGCACTATGGTTTATCTGGGAAATGGACAGTGTCACCTATTCTGGTATTAATTCTTTAATACATAGCCCAGGGATGCCTGAGAGGCTCAGTCAGTTAAATGCCTGCCTTCAGCTCAGGTCATGATCCCAGGTTCCTGGGATAGAGTCCCACATTGGGCTCCCTGCTCAGTGGGGAGCCTTCTTCTCCCTCTGCCTGCTTGTGCTCTCTCTCTCTGACAAATAAATAAAATTGTTAGAAAGAAAGAAGGAAGGAAGAAAAGAAAGAAAGAAAAAGAGAAAGAAAGAAAGGCTGGAGTTAAAAGCAAATGTAAAAATAAAGAAATAAATAAAACATAGCCCAACAGACTCATGTAAAAAAATGAGGAAAGAGAACCTTCCCATGTCAACTGAAGAAGTTATGGAAATATTCCACACCTCATACTAAGGCCCCATATTAAGACTTAATACCTAACCTAACTGCAGTTTCATTCTCCACTCCCCGCCCCCCACTTATGTAACCTTTAACCAATCACCAGAATTTCTTGGTCAACACCTGGAGGTAATCCCCAGATAGACCCCTTACCCTTTACCTGGGCGACATTGCCTACAGCAACGCAATCCTTGCTAATAAATTCCTATTTTTATGCCCTCTCTCTGCCTTTATTAAAAAAAACAAAAAAACTTTCCTTTTCCGCAGCTCAGCTGAGCTCCTTTCTACTTGCTAGATGGGTGCTGCCCCTATTCACGAACCCTTCAATAAAGCCAATTTGATCTTTCAAATTACTAAGCTGAATTTTTGTTGTTTAACAGTGACTGGTACAGGCTTAGGCCAAAAATGAGGAGCAGAGCTGGGACTTAAACCCAGGTCATCTATCCCACAGCCCCTGCTCATAAGTGCTGTGCAGTATGGTTCCATACATCTTCACTAACGAAGAGGAAGAGCATCACTTCCCTTGGACTCGCGGTTATTGGAGGCGGAAAGCACCACCTATTCCAACACCGTTCTCACAAGCCCGGGAAAGAGCCACTCACAGAGCGGGTCTCCCCTGTGAGATGCGACTAGCCCAGGAGGCCAGAGCCCAGCGAGCCCCGCGGCCGGAGTTCCCGAACCCGCAGGTGCTTCCGGGTGCCGGGAAGGAGGAGGGAGCAGGGAGGAGCGCTCGCCCGAGCCCCGTCCCGCCTCCACCCCGCGCGCAGCGGGGCGCCGGGTCTCAGGTTCTCCGGGCTGCGCCGCAACGATGCGGACGGCAGCAGGCGATAATGCGTACTTCCAGAGGGGCAGTCTGTTCTGGTTCACCGTCATCACCCTCTCCTTTGGGTATTACACGGTAAGGGCAGCGGCAGCGGCGTGCAGCCCCGCGAGGAGAGCGAGCACCGCGCCCCCGCCCCCGCCCCCCAGCGCAGGACCCGGGTCCGCCGGCCGGAGGGGTCGCGCAGGCGCAGTCCGGCTCTGCGCGCCCGGAGCCCGCGGGGAGGGGAGCCGGTCCCGGAAGCAGACGCAGGCGCACTTGTCTGCCTGCGCCTTTCGCCTCTGCCCACGGTCTCGAGAAACCAGTTACCCAGGCTTTCTCGGTATGGGGCGGGGGCGGGTACGGCTCCCCATCCCAAGGCTCAGTGTGTAGATCTTTCAAGATGGTGGTGACGAAGTCCGAGGCCGGCAGGGCTGCGTCCGCCTACTTCCGTCCGGCCAGATGTTTGCCTTCGCTGGTCACCATCCTGGCGCTGGGCTCTTTCGCGGTGAGGCGTGGGGCGAGGCGGTGCATCTCTCTTGGCCGCCGGGCCCTCGTAGGGCGAGAGGCGCCCTGGTAGCGAGGTCTTATTATTTAAATTGGAATTATGGAGCTGGCAAGTGCTGCCCCTTCCGTTCCTTTTTGGAGGGTGCAGTGATATTTTATGCTTTATTTAAATCTTACGTGCATAAGACCTAATGGGAGAGGTAGTACTGCTCTTGGCTGAGATATGAATGGTACAATAAGTTTTGGACCTGTTGGCACTTAATTCTCAGAAAAACCTAAGCTGGCAGAGATTACAGCATAGAGACTAAGGGAAAGTTGATCAGATTACAAAAACCTAATGTGATTAAGTAGTTGCTATTAGCACTTCACAAACTTGATGTACTTATTTTCCAGCCCTGGGAAGTGGATCATTCCCAGTTTTAGATGTAGGAAAAATGAAAGAAGGAAAAAGGATTCTAAATTAAGTGGGGGGGTTGGCTCAAGCCATAGCCTCTGCAGTAAAGAAGCTAGCCAGGGCACAGAAACTTAAAGCTTATTAATAATCTGTATAAAATAATGTTTTTGGTGGAACTCACTAAGAATAGAAGTCATCCCGTCTGGGCACTGAGTCTGATAACCACATAGCTTCCTCCACATAGATCTCCCACTGGAACAGCTTTTAGAAAACAGAAGTGGAGGGGCGCCTGGGTGGCTCACTCGTTAAGTGGCTGCCTTCGGCTCAGGTCATGATCCCAGGGTCCTCAAGGCTGCTTCTCCCTCTCCCACTCCCCCTGCTTGTGTTCCCTCTCTCACTGTGTCTCTGTGTCAAATAAATAAATAAAATCTTTTTTTAAAAAAAAGAAAAGAAAACAGAAGTGGAGAATGGAAGCCCAGATGACTTAGTTCAGAGATTCTGTGGTCTCTGGTTTTTCTTGTAGAATCGGGATTGTTTAGTAGTCTCTCTCAAAAATAAACATTTGCTGATTTAAGTGACTTAATAGGTATTCTGTGCCTCTGGTTCTCTTGCAGTGGGTTGTCTTCTGGCCTCAGAGTATCCCTTATCAGAGCCTCGGGCCTCTGGGCCTCTTCACTCAGTACTTGGTGGACCATCATCATACCCTCCTGCACAATGGGTAAGCAGGGCTCTGGAAATGGGATGTGGACCCTGCAGCTCCAGTTCCACTGTAGATCTGGAAGGCCTGCACTTACTTGCCTTTAGATACCTCAGAGTGTTGCTGGTTCACATTAAGGTATTGAGGTTTCTGTGTTAGATTTCATCAGCAGATAACCATCACCTTAAACTAGGCTGACTTTTGTTTTAGGTATTGGCTTGCCTGGCTGATTCACTTGGGAGAGTCCTTGTACGCCATGGTTTTGTGCAAGTAAGTGTGTTTAATAGTGCTTTAGCGTTTTTCTCTTCGTATCTAATATAAGTTGAGAGTAGCCACATTTAAATAATTCATGGGTTTGTAGGCCGAGAACATTCTCAGGGTAGAATTGAATCTCCACACCTAATACTGAGCCTAGCTTCGAAGGAGTACTCGGTAACTATTTAATTAATGGATTCATTTCATTTGTGTTAGTTAATTATTTAACTACTTGATTTAGATGATTTTTCTCATTAAAAAAAAATTCTCTGTATAGCTCCACCTATAGCAAAAGATTTGGGGGTTGCCTTGTATTTTGAAAAAGAGTCAATTTATTGACGTAAGCCGATGATTCTCAATCCTAGTTTCACAACTGAATCACCCAAGGAGCTTTTTGAAATATACATGTCTGGTGTCCAGACCCAGAGATCCTGATTCGGTAGGCCTGGCCTCTGAAATGGGAATCTGTTCTTTTTTTCAAGCTCCCCAAACAATTCTGGGATGCATTGCAAGTTAGAAAACCTCTCAGTTCGACCCTACTCAGCAGGTGCCAGTGTAAGTTAATACTGTGTGCGGGCTTAGGAAAGATTCTCCTGACATTAGTACTTCATGTAAGCACGTACAGACAGTATGGTGTCATGAAGAGGTGGTTACAGTCATGCCAGATTACTTTGCAGTTAACTTCTGGTCAAGATGAACTATCACTCTATTACTGTTGTATTACTTCTAAAAGGGAGAAATAAGATACCTTATAACAACCATGTTTTAAAATAAAAGTAATATTTATTGAGCGTACACTATGCCAGGTACTTGCTAAGTGCTTTAAAGAGATGATATTACTCTTATCTATCTTCTGGTTTAGGAAACAAGCTGGCCTATCTAGGAGAGGAGCGGAAAGCAGCTCTGTTCTCTCTCAACCCAGGTCTTCTTACCTGTGGGTTGTGGTCTGCCTCCCACCGTAGCCCCGGATGAAATCCAAAGCACTTCCCTAGGTTTCCCAGTCACTATCTGATACCGTCCAGTCTAGTCCAGGCTGTTTATTAAAAGCATAAACTGGTCCCTAAGTCCCTCATGCAGCTGGGGCTCAGGAGCCTGCTGTGGGGAAGAGAGTACAGTTGGTGGCTTCTCTCTCAGGCCACCTCCTTTTCCTATTTGCTAGCAACAGCTGCTTATGGCCTGTTGAGGGGACAGCAGTTAGGGGAAACAGGGCACAGTCTGCCGTGTGGTCGGGCAGCTGGCAGCTATGGATGTCGCATACCCGCTGTTCGCTTTTTTTCTCCAGGGGGCCCTGGTGGAGTTTTGAGAAGCCAGCCATCACTAGGGATCTTCTGTAGTCCCTTTGATGGTTCTTCAGATGCTTCCTCCAGCCTGCCCCTGGCCGATTCCTCTTCCTTTTTCTTTCTTTCTTTCTTTTTTATTTTAAGAGTTTCTTTATTTGACAGAGAGAGCAAGAGAGCATGAGCAGGGGAAGCGGCAGAGGGAGAGGGAGAAGCTGGCTCCCCGCTGAGCAGGGAGCCCGATGCGGGGCTCGATCCCAGGACCCTGAGATCATGACCTGAGCCAAAGGCAGACGCTTAACCGACTGAGCCACCGAGGCACCCCTGGAGGGAATTTTTCTTTTACTGAGATCTCTTCTATCCTTCAGTTAGGGCCTCTGGACAGGGTCCCTTTTAAGCCCACCGTGCCTGTGGCCTTCCAGCAGATCGGATGGCTCACAGTGACAGCTTCCTCATCCCTCCAGTGGGATAAATCCACAAGTACATGCAGTTCTCACTGCAGCTATGTATCTTTGATCTCCCATCAGGTACGCTATACCTGAGTCTTTAAACTTTAGAATCAGATATTAATCTTTTCCCCCAAATTCCAGGGGACTTAGGTCAAGCTCTCCAGGTGGTTTTGTTGATGCTGTTCTTTGAACTTGACTTACAACAGGAAATGCCACAGCACTAGTACCTCTTTGCAATGGTCCCTCAGCCTCACAGTGAAATCTTAGCTTGGAGGTGTGTGGTCTAACCCCTCGGACACCATTATTTGACACCTGTTCTCTTGTAGCATTTGGAGCCTCTAAATAAAACCAAAGGACTCGAATTTAACATCTTGCTGTCCAGGTCTTTGAAGGGTGGAGGGAGGGGCGCCTGGGTGGCTCAGTCGGTTAAGCGTCTGCCCTCGGCTCGGGTCATGATGCCAGGTTCCTGGGATCGAGTCCCGCATCGGGCTCCCTGCTCAGCTGGGGGTCTGCTTCTCCCTCTGACCCGCTTCCCTCTCGTGCTCTCTGTCTCTCATTCTCTCTCTCAAATAAATAAATAAAATCTTAAAAAAAAAAAATTCTCTTTAATCCTAAATGACTTAAGATGTTTTTTAAATTTTTTAAGATTTTATTTATTTGGGGCACCTGGGTGGCTCAGTCGGTTAAGCGTCTGCCTTCGGCTCGGGTCATGATGCCAGGGTCCTGGGATCGAGTCCTGCATCGGGCTCCCTGCTCTGTGGGGAGTCTGCTTCTCCCTCTCCCCGCTGCTCATGCTCTCTCTCACTATCTCTCTCTCTCAAGTAAATAAATTTTTTTAAAAAGGGGAAGGGAGAGCAGGTGTAGAGAGCTTAGGTTACTCTTACTGTGCTTTTGAAATCATTTCTTTATGGTCTCGTATGTTGTGGTATATCACTTGTCACTCTACATCAGAACAGATCCCCCTTTTGAATTATGAGTGAATGAATACATTTAAGTGAATGTACATTTGTAGCCTCCCAAATCACACTATTCAGCAATAAAAAGGAATTGGTGAATTCCTTTTAACCAGAGATTAGATTGGACTATATGTTTGACTTCATAGCCACCATAGTATATGTACATATAGATGTAAACTCTTCTATAAATTTTCCCATTGTCACATATGCCTATTTTCCCATGTCTGTACCTATGAATTTACCTCATCACTTTATTGGTGCATAGTATTCTATTACGTGGATGTTCCTTAGTGTATTTCACAAATCCCGCCTCTGATAGACTTTTAAGTCTCTCACTTTTATTATTATAAGTAATACTGCATGAACATGAATTTCTCATACATCTTGGCCCTTCCATTGTTGCTGAAAAAGGAAAAGCTTTCAACATTTTGCCTGAAGTTTTTTCTAGGTCATGTAGACCTCCTTTATCAGAATAAGGAAGTTCTATCCTATTTCTGAGTTTGCTGAGAACTTGTATTCAGAATGGATGCTGTAATTTTTCAAATGCTTCTGCATTTATCCAGATGATCGTATGATTTTTCTCCTTTAATCTGTTAGTGTGGAAAATTATATCGTTTTTACATACACTGTTTCTAAATTTTGTTTTAAATTAGAAGTCATCCACATGAGACTTCTTTATATACTGATGAGACTAGCAAGCCATTCACTTCAATTGGGTCATTTTCTTTTGAGCTTTGTTTTAAGCAGTTTAGTTTGAATGACTGCAGCAAGTGTTTATTATTACTATGTGCCAGGCCTTTTACTAAATACTTTGTGTATGTTATTTCATAAATCATCTCAAAACTTGCTGAGATACTGATATCCCTATTCTTTTTTTTAGATTTTTATTTATTTATTAGAGAGAGAGCACAAAGGGGAGGTGGGGAGGGGGAGGAGCAGACCCCTGGCTGAACAGGGAGCCCAAGGAGGGGCTCAATCCCAGGACTCTGGGATCATGACCTGAGCTGAAGGCAGACACTTAACTGACTGAGCCACTCAGGCACCCTGATATTCCTGTTTTTCAGAGGAGGAAACAGATTCTCAGAGAGAATGAGTGACTTGCCCAGCGTCACAGCTAGTTGTTGGCAAGCTGGGATTTACATTTGTTCTACCTTCAAAACACTTCCTCTAAAGCCATCCTGGTGCTGGAGCTTTTTAACCCTATCTGCTCTTCAAAGCCTCATGAGAAATGGTTTTATAATACCGTGCCCTGGGCAGTAGCCACACTGCATCTGAGGGAAGAGTGTACTGTTCTAAATGCACACACAAAAAAATGAAAATAAACCATGTGAATTAAGAAGCTGGAGGAAAATGGCAAAATAAACCTAATGAAAGTAGAAGGAATACAGTTTTTTTAATGGAAGACAGTAACTCTTATGAAACCATAACATTAAAATTCTGGTGACTAAGTTTTTGTTTTTTTTAGGTCTAAAGGCATCACGGATGGTCGGGCTCAACTACTCTGGTTCCTACAAACTTATCTCTTTGGAATAGCATCTCTCTCCATCTTGATAGCTTACAGACCAAAACGCCAAAAACAAACTTAAAGAAGATATCCAAAAGCTTTCTTTACACTTTTGACATTCAACTTCACTGTTTTGGGGGTGGGGGAGATGCTGGGGGATGCTGAGTTTACTTGATCTTTCTCCTTTCCAGAAATTTAAGACCTTCTAGTTATTCATTATTCTTTCATACGCTCTGGTTGAGCTTGACTAGATGATAGGAAAGGATTTAAGCTTCCCAGTTCTGCAGACTAACCTGTTTGGCTGAGGGCTTCCAAGCTACCTGCTTGAGGTCCTTGGCCATGTTGGTGCTCCTTGTATCATCTGGTTTAAGCTGTGTACTAAAACTGCTTGTTGGTATAACTTTGCTCCCACCTTCTGACTAAGACACCTTACCCTTACCACCCCATCTTAGCTCTCCTTTCCCCCAATTTTTTCCACCTTTCTGAACCAAGACAGAGTGACATTTCCCCAACACATCAATTCCACGTACACTAGGCACCTGGGAAGCAGGATCTTATCCTCTCCGACTTCCATTTCTCACACACCAAGAAAGATAAGATAAGCAAGTGCCTGGAATGGGCCAGGCCGAGCAGTACCCTAGAGGCACAGAGGACACGCTGAGTACCTAGAGGAGAGGATCCGGAACGCCTTCCCTGATAGAGCCAGCCAGAAGCCATCCTGCCCTCCCCTCAGCCCCGAGGACACAGCACTGTGGTGTGCAGGGGTCTGATGGCCACTGCTAGATGGCTGTTTCCGGTCAGGACCACATCTTAGCTTGATTTTTGTTTTCAGCACATGTGCCATTGCCTTGCACACAGGTGTTCTGTCAGTGTTTTCTGAACCGCAGACCGAAACTGAATTAGCTTGCCATTCGTTCAGTATCGTTCCAGTTGTTATCTGGAAACTGTAGAACCCACTCAGTGTAGTCTCTTCTCAAAGAAGAGCCCAGAACTGCCCTTGATTGGTGGTACCCCCTTCCTGTGGGTCCCCTGGTAGGAAACCTGTGTCTTTTTCACACCTGCCTATTCTTAGTCATTTTCTCCAGACTCTGTAACATCTCCCTCCAGCTCCAGCTTACTTAAACACAGACGTTCCTGAGCCAGAGATCCTAACTGGAAGCTAGTGACTACCTCTCCCATTCACCTGACTAGACCTTTTTCCTAGTGACTGGTCAGGGCAGGAGGGTCACTGACTGTGTCCCCTGACCTTGGCAGAGTGACTGTCACCTAGGAGCCATTAGGGCTCCTTTCTTGGAGGACCACCTAGGCAGTCCCTAGTTCTCTAGGGACTAGACCTTATTTTCCTTCTATGATGCAGTAGGGTACGTTCTCTATGTTAAGCAAACATTTATGGGAGAGACAGCCCCTTCGCCCCAAAAAGAGACCGCAAGTAAAAGTACAACCCTGAATGATTATGGGCTATGAATTGTTTCTGGTGGAGATGGTTCCTACAAACTTATCTCTTTGGAATAGCAAAATCTTTTTTTTTTTTTTTAAAGATTTTATTTATTTATTTGACAGAGAGAGAGAGATAGCGAAAGAGGGAACACAAGCAGGGGGAGTGGGAGAGGGAGAAGCAGACTTCCCGCTGAGCAGGGAGCCTGATGCGGGGCTCGATCCCAGGACCCTGGGATCATGACCTGAGCCGAAGGCAGACGCTTAACGACTGAGCCACCCAGGTGCCCCAAATAAATAAAATCTTAAAAAAAAAAAATATATATATATATATATATATCAAGGCTTTTTTCATTGATAATGTAGAATGCCCTAATTGTAGGGCATATTGCCCCTCGTTATGCTTATAGAGCTGCCCAGAGCCCACCTCACTCCACGCACACTGAGTCATGGGTGGACATGAGTGTCTCCTTTCATTGTAGGATTTGTCTTCCTTTTGTTTTTATTTATATTTCATTCAGCATCTGATACAGTCAATGCAGCAAGTGAGAGGAGCATTTTTACTTTTTAAATGCCAAAAGTATAAAATCCTATCATGACTTACAGCAAATGGTGAGGGTCATTTTATAGCCCCATAAACTGCATCCCATCGAGGTGAAGTAACCCCACATCACACAGAGGCCAGACTCCAACTGGATCTTGTGTTTCTCCCATCCTCCGCAGCCTAGGAGCGTAGAAGTTAAGTCTGTGAAGCAAAAAAGAACAGAAAAATGGAGACATCGTCTTCGTGCTGAAGCTATAATGGTGACATGGGAGAAACATCTTTGTTGAGTTCAGATGAGAAAAAGCCAGAAGCCTCTCGATGGAAGCAACCGTGGAAGGCAGACAAACTATAAACAGTTTTCTTACCTCCTGCCCCTACCCTGAAGATGTCAGGAGCATGTATAGTTTGGAAGAACAAAAAAGGACTCCTGGAAAAACCCACAACTAATGACCTCAGCATTTCAACAGTAACAGGCCAGTGTGCAGTGTTTCCTCGTAAACATCCCGCTTGTTCAGGACCCCATGCAATCCACATCTAAACATGTTTTTAAAGCCATGGTTTTAAAACAAGGCTTGGGCTTAAGAGGTCATGTTCCAGATGTGTAAAGAGGTTCTTGAGCAAAACAACTTGTTTTGAGAGCCCTACGTATTTGCACGGAGGGCCTGAAAACAAACAAAAAAGTTGGAGAACCTGCCGTTGAGATTAGAGAACACAGTGCAGTCACATTTTTATCTTTGCCTGGGCCCTTCCTGGAGCCTTGTTAATCAAAGCTCTTTGGTTCGCATAAATATCATTTATCCCATTACTTGATTGGCACAGGCAAAAAGATGCTAGTGGGGCAGCTGAGTAATATATTTGTAAAGGTGTGAGACCTCTCGCTGCAAGACTGCTTATCCACATCAAATTGGGAATTAACTGTTCTCTCTTTATCAGTTCTCTCTTTATAATTACAGAGACTGTAATTATTTCACATTTCTCTATGAAGAAGAGATCTATCCTGATTCCACAGTGGGCACTTGAAAATCATATTCAAAATACTGTATATGTAATTTCTTCTTTTTAAATTTATTTGTTAGCAAGAATGCACAAGCAGGGGTAAGCGGCAGGGAGAGGGAGAAGCAGGCTCCCCGCTGAGCAAGGAGCCCGATGGGGGAATCCCAGGACCCTGGGATTATGACCTGAGCTGAAGGCAGACGTGTAAGTGACCGAGCCACCCAGCTGTTGTCTCCCATATTTGTAATTTCTATAAACATTTTAAGATGGCTCCTAAACTTTTTAAATAGGGTTGAGTATATCGATTGTCTTATTTTTGTTTGCAGTGAATCATGAAGGTGGATTAGGGAAAATGTCTTTGGCACCCTGATACTGTTCAGGGAAATGTTTATGACAGTGTCAGGGGTGGGAGAGTCTGCGTCATATGTATGAATGGAGGTCTCGATCCTTGGATTCCCATGAAAAGATTTACGTGGGGCTCCATGCTCCCATAAAGACAGCCAGCAGGAAAGGAGCAAGCACCGAGCAGTTTATTTTTTTTATTTTTTATTTATTTATTTTTAAAGATTTTATTTATTTATGTGACAGAGAGAGACACAGCGAGAGAGGGAACACAAGCAGGGGGAGTGGGAGAGGGAGAAGCAGACTTCCCGCTGAGCAGGGAGCCTGATGCGGGGCTTGATCCCAGGACCCTGGGATCATGACCTGAACCGAAGGCAGACGCTTAATGACTGAGCCACCCAGGTGCCCCCACCGAGCAGTTTATTAATGGGAGAGGAAACAGGTACCTCGGAGTGTTTGTTTAGGAATTGGATATTATTGGGTCTTTCTGGGCTGGGAAGAGCTGTGAAGTACAGTGGGGTGGTCTTTAAAGGAGGCTTCCTCCAAACTTTTGCAAAACTCCTCCCACAGGTTGGGAGGGGAAGTTTTTGACCCTGCAAGCTTGGTCCCAGAATGGTCAGGGCAGCCTTTCTCCATGGATGGGGCTGTACTTGCAATGCAAATGAATTATAATAAGTCTAGGGGTTGCCCTGGGGCAGAGATGGAAGAGGAGAGCGCATGTTCTGCAGGTGTGGCTCTTGATCTATCAGGTCCAAGGTCTTGGAAGCCACAGGTTGGGATGGTTGAGCTCCCAGGCTTACAATGTGTAGCATTTTTTAAATCACCGTCCCTGCCTCTGGCTCTAGTCTCTATCATTCCCCTTCAAGGATTGGGATTCTGCTTCAGGGCGTTTTTTCCACTGCTCAGATCTAGCTTCTATCTAACAAAAGAACTTTCACTTTTTCTTTGTACCAAGCTGTTGCACGAGATGTTCCTAGTAAACAGAAATTCGTTAATAAAAATTGCCACTAAAATTGAAATCTTGACATTACTATAGATGAGAGTATTGGCATCTATAATATAGAGAAGCATTCCCTAAACCTCAGGCGTGTAGGGACCACCCCCACAACACTAGTCACGTCTAAGCTACACATAATTCGCTTTAAAAAATCTTCCTAGGCAGGAATAACTATGAAATGCCCCGTTTGGTTTGTTCATTATACTTTTTCTCTGATACATATGAGAATAACGCACAATCATTACCTAAATCACCATGCATATCAATGATACAGTCAGCAAACTAGTAACAATTTAAAAGTATTACACTACTTGATGAGACTGAAGTGTGGCATTTAACCTGGCTCTAGCCACAAGATTTTAGGCAAGTTTGTCACCTTTGAGGATCTCAGTTTCATGATTAAAAAAGAGTAAGAATAATTTTACATTGTGGCTGGGATGACAATAGTATGGTAAATTTAAATGAAATAATCTAGATAAAGCAATTGTAAAACTATAACATACTAAATAATAGTTCTACTGGAAGGTTGCTAATCGCCAGTGATGCATCCTGTGCTGCTCAAACTTGACCACGCGGATGGATCACGTGCAATCACGTGCAATCACATGCAATCTCACAGAAACGCAGGTAGGTTCTGTGTGTGTGGGTGGCATGGGCTGGGAGCAGTAGGATAAGTTAGCTGGTCATGACATTAAGTTGAAATAGTTGCCTTTTTAAGGGGAAATATACTGATAAGTTTAGGAAAATAATTGGGATAAATAAACATGAACTGAGGAATTAGGTGCAAGTGTCATACGGACAAAAATAGGGTATATAATCGCTTTTATTTGAACATTTTTAAGCCTTCAGAAAAGTTACATGAGTACAGAGAACATCCATGCGCCCTTCACCTCCCAGGTTCACCAGTTAGTGACATTTTGCCATATTTGCTTTATCCCTCTCCTAAGAACACAAGCGTGTTACATAATTGTTACACCCGGGAAGTTGAACATTATCCTCTACACAGGACAGATTCAGATCTCCCCTACTGTGCTGATGATGTCATTCAGAGCCTCTGGGACAGTGGGGGTGGGAGAGTCCTGGATCCCATCCAGAATCACACAAAGTATTTAGTTGTCAGGTTTCCTTAGGCTCTTTAATCTAGAAGCATTCCTCAGCCTTTTGTTTTTGTTTTTGTTTAGCCTTTAACGACTGACATTTTTTAAGCACCCAGGTTAATGGCCCCCAATTTTGTCTGCCTCCTCGTGATCAGACTGAAGTTAAAGGCTCCAGGAGGAGCACAGCCAGGTCCTTTTCAGTGCATCAGTTCAGAGACATGTGGGGATGTTGGTCCCATTATCTATGATCCTAAATTTCATTACTTGGTTAAGTTGGTTTTCTCCATTTTAAAGACATCTTCCTTTCCTTTGAATTAATACGGGGTGTGCGGGCTGATACTTAAAACCACAGGACCACGTGTTCCCCATGGTTGAAGTATCCATTGATGATTCTCACCTCAACCAATTTTTACCAGGATACTTATAAACTGGTGATTTTCCTATTTCTGTCATTTCTTTTACATTGATTAGTGGGCATTCTGCAAAGAAGAAATTTCCTTCCTCCCTGCTCCACCTACTTTCATTTATTTGTTCATTTAATATTGGCAGTATCACTATGAACTTACGGATTCTTTTTAATTTTATATATTATAAACCATTTCTATCATTATTTATTTTGATGTTCCAAGTTGGCCCTTCAAGGTGGTTCCTGTGTCCTTTTGAAATGCCCTTATCTGTTTTTGAGTCTTTTCAACAAACTGATTTTCCTACCCTAGCCCTAGAATCAGCCATTTCTCCAAGTTGTTTGGCTTCCTAATTTAATTGAAGAAAGGTATTTAGAAACTAAGATCTGGTGTGTTCCTTGCTGTCAAGGGTGTCTTTGCAGTAGTATCATTCAGAGGACAGACTTAAGAATATAGGTTTTTGTTTCGTTTTGTTTTTTAATCAGGAGTGTATGCTGATGCTTGTCCCTGCAATTCTACCCCTCGGGGCCCTGCCTGTCCCTGTGCTGCCTCCGCCCACATTGAGAGCCTTGGTTTGCACATCAGTGTATTTTCTTCATCACTCAGTGCTACAACACATACAAAATAGTTTCAGAAGAGTTCAGTTCATCAGCCAATACTACGACAAACTTTTTTTTTTTTTTAGATTTTATTTATTTCAAAGAGAGCACAAGCAAGGGCAGGGGGGCAGAGGGAGAGGGAGAAGCAGACTCCCTGCTGAGCAGGGAACCTGATGCGGGACTTGATCCCAGGACCCCGGGATCATGACCTGAGCTGAAGGCACATGCCTAACCAACTGAGCCACCCAGGCACCCCAACCACAAACTGTTTTTGCACTCATTTGATCCTTTCAATACATTATGACATATGTTATGGAGTTATATTTATTGTCTCCTTGTGAATATGCTATTAATTGGTTTGGTATTCAGTTAGGTTTTGGGCTCATTTGCTAATTTGTATTCAATTTCAGGGCTTTCTTTTTCCCTAGCCTTGTTAATTTTATCTTACATCCTTTAATATATAAGACATTGACAAAGTTCAAAAGGCAAAACTATATAAAAAGATGTATTTGGAGAGGTCTTATTCTGTTCTCCATCCCTACCCTCTCCCTACAGGTAACATGAGGGGGAAAAGTTAAACATGAAATCTCCTGACAAACCAGAACATCCTATCCACAAATGTAGAAAAGAAAGAAAACTATCTTATTACTGAATAAGCTCTAAACCAGACTATGGTGTGCATCTGAGCATGAGATTGCAAAGACAGAAAGAAATCTCACCCTTCTTTTTTTTTTTAATTTTTAGAGATCTTATTTATTTGACAGAGAGAGACAGCGAGAGAGGGAACACAAGCAGGGGCAGAGGGAGAGGGAGAAGCAGGCTTCCTGCAGAGCAGGGAGCCCGATGTGGGGCTCGATGCCAGGACCCTGGGACCATGACCTGAGCCGGAGGCAGACACTTAACGACTGAGCTACCCAGGCGCCCCAGAAATCTCACGTTTCTATGCAGCCAAGCAGATAACACCCTCCATTCTACACACATTCTCAAGACAAATCACAATTAGTCCTCGCAAGAGGATCCGACAACTCCCTGTGCTGTATTTCGTTCATAGTTCCCCCCAAACTCACATGGTCATTGGGGTGACCACCCATATTAATTACCTTCATCATAAGGGAGGATAAGACATCTATCTCTATGGATGAGCAGGTAGTCACATCTTGGAACAAGGCTCCTAGGCGAACCCTCCCATGGTGACCAGGGGAAGGGGAGGAGGGGGAAGGGAGCATTGTCCTTGAGGTTTACATTTCAAAGAGATGGCTCCAGCCTTTCTTTTCTTTCCTTTCTTGAAGATTTTATTTATTCATTTTAGGGAGGGATAGAGAGAGAGAGTGCACTCAAGCTGGGAGGGCCAGAGGGAGAGGGAGAAGCGGGGCTTGATCCCAGGACCCTGGATCAGGACCTGAGCCCAAGGCAGACACAAGCGCCCCAAGAGGGAGAAAGAATCTGAAGCAGACTTCGCACTGAGTGCAGAACTGGATGCAGGGCTCGATCTCACAACCAGGAGATCATAACCTGAACCGAAACCAGGAGCCAGAGGCTTAACTGACTGAGCCACCCAGGAGCCCTGGCTCCAGGCTTTTAGCAAAAACATTGCTGGGTGCTACTGTTGTCAAGAGGCTTAGTTAGCTTTTTTTGCACAGCAAAGGAAAAAACCAAAAGACAACCGACAAAATGGGAGAAGATATTTGCAAATGACATATCAGATAAAGGGCTAGTATCCAAAATCTATAAAGAACTTACCAAACTCAACACCCAACTAACAAATAATCCAAGCAAGAAATGGGCAGAACACATGAACAGACATTTCTCTAAATAAGACATCCAAATGGCCAATAGACACGTGAAAAAGTGCTCAACATCACTCGGCATCAGGGAAATACAAATCAGAACCACAATGAGATACCACCTCACACCAGTCAGAATGGCTAAAATTAACAAGTCAGGAAACAACAGATGTTGGCAGGGATGCGGAGAAAGGGGAACCCTCCTACACTGTTGGTGGGAATGCAAGCTGGTGCAGCCACTCTGGAAAACAGTATGGAGGTTCCTCAAAAAGTTGAAAATAGAGATACCCGATGACCCAGCATTTGCACTACTGGGTATTTACCCCAAAGATACAAATGTAGTGATCTGAAAGGGCACATGCACCCCAATGTTTATAGCAGCAATGTCCACAATAGCCCTTTTATTTATCCTTACCCATAACAGATATCATTAATTTTGATTTATCCTCCTGTGTGTAATTTTGCAAATGAAAGCAAATACATATTCTTATTTTGCCTTTTCCTTAGGTGTCAATTCTTTTAATAGATGCCCACCGTGGAGTAGATTTTCCAGACAAAAACGGGCTCTTTCACAAAACACCTGACATAGGATTTGGGGGGCCCATCCCTGGGTAAGTGGTAGATCAAGCTAAGAACCAAATTTTGAAAAACTTTCCATTTTCTAACCCTCTAGAGTCCTCTAAAATCTCAGTGAAATGAAACTGTTCCCCTGATATGACCTCAGAATACCCAAGTTGAATGAATTTACCTTAATTTTCTTGCTACCAGGAAATGAAATCGCCCCAAAAAAGACAAGATCTAATAAAGAGGAAGCTCCATTAGAGGGAATCTTGCAGGGGTGCCTGGGTGGCTCAGTCGGCTAAGCATCTGACTCTTGGTTTCAGCTCAGGTCATGATCTCAGGGTTGTGGGATCAAGCTCCACATAGGGCTCTGCACCGATTGTGGAGTCTGCTTAAAATTCTCTCTCTGTCCCTCCCCTGCCTGAGCTCTCTCGAAAAAGAAAAAGAAGAAAAAAAAAAAAAAAAAAAAAGAGGGAAACTTTCAGGTACTTTACTTTCCAAAGTAAAAACATAGCACCCCCCTGAGAGAACTGATTAATTAGTAAGGCACATTGCAATCCTTTATTGCTGT